GCAGAGGGAGGCGGCGGGCCAGGGACGGTGCAGCGCGAGGACGCCCGCAGCCCCTGACCCGCCCCCTCCACTCCCACAGGCACCGCCTCCTCCCGCCGCAGCCCCCGCCGCAGCCGCTGGCCCCGCCCCAGCCCCTGCGCCTGCGCCCTGTCACCCGGCGTCAAGGCCGGCCTAGGGGGCGGGGCCGGACCCTCTCCGGGGCGGTCCGCCTAGCTCTGGCCCCGCCCCTTTATTAGCCCCGCCCCAACTCTTCCTGTCTCCCCTCCCACCAGAACTCTGTGGTACTTAACCCCGCCCCATTTCCCATTGGCCCCGCCTATTGCCTCAGCCTAGACTGTGATTTCAGTCGCTTTGGTTTCTCCCCTCCGCCTCAGGGCTCCCTCCTCAAACATCAGTCCTCATCCCTCCCTTGGTCCTCCTGTCCGCAGTCCGCCGTTATCTAGGCCTCGTCCCCTTTCCCTCACCAGTTGGAGGTTCTCGCCCCGCCCTCTAAGGCTCCGCTGACTCTTAGGGTTCTCTCCCAGGTTCTCTGGCCCCCAAGACTCCCAGGCCGGTAGCTTTGTATTCTTTGCAGGTCTCACCTTTCTCTTAGCGCCCGCCTCTCCCATTCCTCTACCCTCTGAGCCCTGCCCCGCCCCCGCCTGGCCTGGTTACTTTCAAGCCCCTTAAAGCCCCGCTCCTCCTTTAGTCTCGCCTTCCCCCAGCCCATTCAAGACGTTTTCTACCATTCGTAGACCCCAACCACCTCCGTCAGTCCCGCCCCATCCATCCTGACACTCTCTCCTGGCGCAGCTCTGTCTCCAGGCCAAGCTTGCAGCCCCGGGCCCGCCCCTCCTTTTCCTCGCCCCCTCCCTTAGTCCTATCCAGACGGGTTCCCAGGCCCTTCTGATCTCGTCCCCTCCTCACTGGGTCTCAGTCTCTGTTCCCCTTGCCCTGTCCCCTTTCAGTCCTGCCTAGTGCCATTTCGCGTGAAAGTACCCTCCACTCTCCATTTCCAGTTCCCGCCTCGTTCAGTCCCGCCCCCTCACTCTCCCAACCCAATCAGGACTGTTTCTACTCCTTTCGACCCCGCCTCTTCTTAAGATCCGCCCTGCCTCTTCCAAGCAGCGTTAGGAGCCCAACTCGGCCGTCTCCATCTGCCCCTTCCCACCAGGTCCTGCTGGCCGGCTCTTTAGGTCCGGGCCCGCGATCCTTCTCTGTCCAATCAGGACGGTCTTCCGCCTTGTGGCCCCGCCCCTCCCTCTGCCTGTCACAGCCAGTGAGGCCTCTTTAAATAGCTTGGACTTGTCCCCTTCCTCTGCCCCGCCCCCGTCCTTGTTTTAATTCAATCAGATCTCTTTCTCAGATCTAGTCCCTCCTCCTCTGTGCTCCTTGTGCTGCCAAACCAGCCAACGTTAGCAGCCCATTCCGCCTCCTTTAACCTTTTCCCGCCCCGCTCCTTCTCTCGCAAAGATCCAATCGGTGTGTTTCATCTGCGGCCCCGCCCCGTCCAGCTAGGCAGCGTTAGAGTCCAGGCCCTTCTCCCGGCTTCAGCCCCGCCCCACCTCCCCCTAGGCCAATCAGTTTGGCTTCTCCTCCACTGCGGCCCCGCCCCCTCAATCCATCTCCTCCTCCCACCCAATCACGTCTGTGTCTCCCCTGCGGCCCCGCCCCTCG